ACGTCAAGAATGTGGAGCCATGACTGGCCTCTTGATATGAACAGAGAAGATCAGGTTTTGAAAGCAAGAGCCTGACTACTGCCCCAATCTTATGCAATAATGGCATGATCAACACTAAAGCCTATCTAATTGCCCAAAGGTGCAGTTCCCAACAACCCTGGAGGTGATTTACATTTAAAAAGAGCAGAGATTCTGGGAGCAAAATGAAGACTGGTTGTTAGTTTCCACCTTTTCTTTGTAGAAGATGCCTTTACATTTAGCACGAGGGAGCAGGGGGAGGGACTGGTAAAAGTGGGAAGAGGAAAAGATAATACAGAGAAAGGAATTCACTAACCACCAAGTTTCTATTCCCTGTTTCAATCTGATGTTTGCCTTCTCTGTTCTTTCAAGATTATGGGCAAAGACAACACAAATCAGGGAGTAGAAGAGGTTCTGCCTTACCCTCCATGGACATTGGGGCTTTAAAATGGTACCACATTAATCAAGAACTAAAATTGCTGCATTATTCTAAGTCTCAGCTCTTCTCATCACTTACGAGGACAATGATATTGTCCAAAATTCATTCAGATGAAAAAGATGTGGCTTATGTGAAACACACGTGCAGCCAACCTTTTCTTTCTACAGAGAAAGTGAGAGGCAAGAGATATATTCAAGGAAATCACACACAAACAAAAAAGCAATTCACTTTGGAAATGTACTTTCAGCCATTAGAGAAAAAAAAGCAAGTGTGTTCGATGTTGAACTCTTTTACATCTACTGCGCAAATTAACAGCAACCACTCACTGAACAACTACTGTGTACTAAGCACTCTATTCGGCTCTTTATGCATATTATTTTTATAAGGATGGAATTATTTGACCCTATTTCACAGGTGAGGAAACAAGCTGAGAAATATTATGTAATCTATCAAGGTTACTTAGCTTGTACACAGGCGCAATGGGGTTCAAATCCAAGCCCAGGGGTTCCTGTGCATGTCCCCACCCACAAACAATTTGAAGACAAAAAGAATAGCAATATATAATTATTCTCATATAATTAAATATGAGATTTACAAGTACCAGGCTCTGTACTAAGTACTGGGAACACAAAGAAAAGCGTAAGTCTTACCAAACTCTTAACTAAGGGTCAGGCTCCCCCAGTACTAAATTCTTAACACACAATTAATCTTCCCAATGACCTTATGAGATAGAGCCTATTATCCTCTCCCATTTTACAGGTAAGAAAATCAAGGTTTGCAAAGGTGAAGTAATCTGTTCAGGGTCACACAGCAAAGAATTCATGGAACTTGGATACGAACCAGGAAGCCTGATCCAACAGCCTCTTTTATTAACCATTAGGGCTGCAGATCTCAGGAGCTCACAAAATTAAAGACGCAAAGTCAGAAGCCATGGGGAATACTGCATAAACAGGCCTTGGATTTCCATTTACTTAAGAACAGGTTATGATGGTTCTCAATATAGGAAATAACTTGGCAAGGAAACAATGGAAGCAAGAACAAACCCAAATGACTACATGCAGCTCTGCTGATTGCTCAGATAAAGACTCCATCATCCCATTCGGCTGCTTGCCAGCATCTCGCTTTTCCATATGTGTTTGTTAAACTCTAGAGTGCAACGGGTCCGTGAGGAAATGGACTAAAAATGCCTCCAAATTGCCCAACTGCCCTATGCACAATTTCTAAACATCAAAATGACTTCAGCTCCAAAATACACTTATATTTGGAAAGGCAGCAATTGCTTCCAAAAGAGAGATCTTTTTCTTCATTTTAGAAAAAAAAATGTCAAAGAATGCTGCACCGCAGTTGAAGGAATGCATTGGAAAATTTTTTTAAACCTCACTGCCCAAGTTCCATGGTGAAGGAGCAGATCGTTCCAGCACTGAGGCAGCCTGCAAAGGCAGAGCTGCCTGGGCCCCTCACCTGGGTGCAGGGGGCCTCTGGTTTAGCACGTGGAATTAAGGAAGTCCTGACCTACATTCCCAAAGCCTGCAGCAGAGCTTGTTTTGAACCAGATTTTCCCACAAGGACAAAGCAGCTCACAACCCAGAAACCTTTATTTTTAATTTAGGGAGAAAGGCAGTCAACAAATCAAGTCACTGTCATGTGACCACCTGTAGAACCAGGCCAGGCTGTAAAAGGAATTTGCTTCCTTCCAAATAGCTTCTGTCAGACTATTACTGTTATCTCAAAACAGTCGCTTCAAATCAGCCACCACATACACATCCAAGCACCAGGCACCTTTACAGTCATGCCACAAAAACGTATCTCCTCCGACTTCCACTGCTATAGTCCTATTTATTTTTAACATTCTAACCCTGTATTCAAACAGCCCCTGGTTCATTTGTGACAACACGGATGAACCTGGAGGACATTACGCTAAGTGAAATAAGCCAGGCACAGAAAGACAAGTACCACATGATCTTGCTTATATGTGGAATCTACAAAGATTGAACTCCTAGAAACAGAGAGTAGAATGGTGGTCACCAGGGACTGGGGTGGAGGATTGAGATGTTGGCCAAGGGATACAAATTTCAGTTAGGAGAAATAAGTTCCAGAGATCTATTGTACAACATAGCGACTACAGCAAATAACAATATACAGTATACTTGAAACTCACTAAGAGTAGTTTTTAAATGTTCTCACCAAAAATAATAAGCATGTGAGGTAACATATATGTGAATTAACTCAATTTCACCATTCCACTATATATACATATTTTAAAACATCATGTGTTTTAAATATATGTTAATTTAAAAAATAAAATTTCAAATTACGTGCATATATTTGTAAAAGACAAATAGTCATTAGTTAACTTCATACAGTACATTAGAATCTCTCCCAGGTTCATCTCCCAGCTCCCCAGGCCTGTTTATAGAACAAGATAAGAGGTCACACTGGACCCAAGCAATGCCTTCCTGATGCATATCCCTCCCCTTGGTTCCAGCTGCAAAAGCCAAATCTAGACCAGCTCTTCCTTGAATAACAAAGTCCAGGTTTTATTAGCCTACATTTCATTAGCCATGGTTCTTCATCTTGGTGGCACAAGAGAAATACCTGAGAAGCTTTCAAAAATCCCAATGTCCAGTTAACTCAAAATCCCTGATCTGGATTCAGATATCAGTGTTTCTGAGAGTTCTCCAGGTGATTTCCCTGTGCAGCTAAAGTTGAGAACCATGGCTCCCACTCCATCTGTCACCAGCCATGTGACCTCAGACAAGGTTCTTAAGTTCCGAGTGTATCAATCTCTTCCTAGGGAGGAGGGATGGCTCCCTGAGCTAATGCAGGCAGAGTGCTTAGCACAGGGCCTGGCACAGTCAATTGATCTTGTCCCTTTCAATATTCACGGTGGGGAAGTAATTCTATGAGTGACTGAATTATGATCATTGGACGAAATCTTTCATTTCTGCAGCACTCAAGATTTTGTCTTGTCTTGCAAGAAAACATGAAAGAAGCATCGAGAAGAAAAAGGCGGTGGAGGCAATAGCCGCCTTGGGTTCCTCTTACAGCTTATATCAACAACTCTTTTTCTTTCTGTTTTTTTTAACAGTCTCCCCCAACCCCCACCCATCCTCAGGTGAAAACATTCTCCTGATAGCCTCACGCCAACTGGATGCAACTCAACACCAAATGTCTTCCAAATGGCTTTTCTCCATCTGAACGTCTGCGTTCTATTTTATTCTAATGTATTTAGCTTTTATCCAAAAAAGTCAAACAGTTTCTAAACCACTAAACAGTAAGAACTTAGAACTCGAATTATATAATCTGCAAATGGCAAGATTTGAGCCCCTTTGGGACTGAGGCCATCAGTCAAATACCTAACCCAGTGGTTTTCCACCCTGGCTATAAAGAATCAGCCCTAATTCCAGAGTTGAGCTTAACTGATAAATAATTTAATTATTAAATAGATGCTTAGGGCTCTCCAGTGGATCCCTAAGTCCTAAGCTCTACAGTGGAGCCCCAAGCATCTATTTAATTTAAAAGTTCCCTCAGATAATCCTAATATGTGGGCTAGAGCTGAGGACCACCAACCACAAGAACAGAAAAGAAAAACCAATGTTTATCATCTAAGACACCAAGTGTACTTCAAAGACCTCCTACAGTAAACTCAGTTACCTTTGGAGAAAGATACCAAATTCAGGAGGCCTAAAGAAAAAACTAATTTGGGTAGAAAAACTGCCCTGCCTATGCCTTTTCTTTGTTTTTGTGTTTGAGACAGGGTATCACTCTGTCGCCCAGGCTGGAGTACAGTGGTGAGATCTCAGTTCACCGCAGCCTGGAACTCCCAGGCTCAGGTGATCCTCCCAACCTCAGCCTCCTGAGTAGCTGGAACTACGGGTGCATGCTACCACGCCCAGCTAATTTCTGTATTTTTAGTAGAGACAGGGTTTCACCATGTTGCCCAGGCTGGTCTCGAATTCCCAGTCTCAAGCAATCTGCCCATCCCAATCCCCCCTGTAATGCTGGGATTACAGGCATGAGCCACTGCGCCCAGCCTGCCTACGTCTTTTAACTCAAAAAACAAGCGCAATAATTAAGAACATTTCATTCTAGTGAGACGTTCAGTGAGGTATCATTACACACCTCCTTAAAGAAGGTATCTAAGAATATCAGCATCCCCAAAGGGACAGTGAGATCCGCTAAAATAATGAATATTCCCTGTGACTGGATCCATAAATCCTATTTGTTTGAAGAAATATCCATACAAATGTAAGACTTTAAACCAAATTAGCACTTGTCAATACATATTCAATAGACAAATTAAGGACCCAGTGAAAGACATCACAATCTTGATACTAAATTTATGTATGTATTTTTCAAGAAGTTGTAAAGCTGAGAACTGAAATCATACTCTGAAAAAAAACGTAAGTAAATAAGCCTATCTTGCTTATAAACACACACAACACACACACACACACACACACACACACACACACCCCAACAACACACTTCATGAATTTTCAAGTGAGTCAAGGTGACCACTCCAGGAAAGCTACCACCTTACCTCTGAATTTCTTAGGTGGATTGTTAAGGTCCCCGGTTTCTGGCTGTACAACACAACGATCATCAACCAGGCTGTAAAGAAGACAGATAAATGCTCTGTCAAGTTAAGCGTATGAAAATGAAACTCTTAGCACCATGCAAAAATCAGATATCCCAGGGCTTTTCCTGTGCAACATTTAGACTACCATATTCTCCTGCCAGGAACTCTTTACACTAGAGACTTCCTATGCATGGATCTAAACCTAATCCAAAAGCCCAGGGTTCTGTTCTGTGAAGGACACATTAAGCTACTGCTTTCTGTGGCTCCTTTCCCATAACCACGTCCATGGGAGATTTGAGTGTAGCATGCAAGGTGGCTGAAGTCGCGAGACACAGCAAGGGGCAGTTGCATTCAACTAAGGGTAGCTGAGGAGCTGACTTTGTGCCTGGTGAAGATGAGTCAGGCCCTTGCCCTTTGGGAGCTCAAGGCTAGTGCAGGAGCCTTAAGAACAAACTGATAAGGAGAATATAATCTAAGGGCTGTAAGAGAAGGAAGAAAAAAAATAACAGCCAGAAGCGAACTGTGCCTGAGGTCATCTGAGAAGCTGCAGACAGAGGCAGTTCTAATGGAACTACTGGAAGAGTGGAAATAGATGTGAGAGGCTAGAGGGGAGCGTTTCCAGGTGGAGAGAACCACGAGTGCACACTCATGAAGACATGAAAGGACTCTGGAGCATCAAAAGCAACTAGTGGGGAAAGCACAAAAAAATTACAAATAAATAAGCCGACATTACATAAAGACTCAGTATTTGAAATCCTGACTGCTAAGTCTAACTTGCACAATTCTTTTAGAAGAACCACTTAAAAATGTATTTTTGAACAGATGAGGGAACTGAGACTCTGAGAAGTTACACAACTTGTCCAAGCTCCTAAAACTGGTACTGATAGAACTGGCTAATCTTCCAAGTGACCACAGAACTTGCACTTGTTCCCAGCTAACATGCTATGGTTTTCCAGGGTTCCTCCATTCATCTGTGCTGCCTCCTCTTATCCCAAATGCAAGGTACCATTAAATATTCAGCCTTTACCCTTACTGTTCTATTCTCCAAGATTCCCTTTTGCCTCCTAAAGTCCTGCCTGTCTTTCAGGACTCAGATTAAGAGCCCCACCTTCTCCACAAAGCCCCCGAGGCCTTTCCTGCTTCAGACACTCTCTGCCTCTCCTTCTCTGTCCTCCCAACCTCACTGACTGAGACTCCAAAGGTGCATCAGGCTACCAGCTCCATGAAGGCCAGAAGATGCTCAAGGCTGGCAGCTCAGTATCTATTTGGTAGGTAAATCGAAGTATCCATGGTACCCCCCCAGCAGTTTGCCTCCTTCAGCTTCACAACACAAGACCTCACTGTATCAACAAGAGGGACAGTGTAGCCAATGGCCTGAGTTCTCATGTAAAAATCAAGAGCAGAATATACATATATAAAACCCCCACCCTGAGCTCCTGTGAGTGTAAGTACAGTAATGCCCCCAGAGCTAACATAATGCTTGACAGGGTGGGCTCAGAATCCAAGGTAGGGCTAGGTTAATAAATAATCAAGTTCTCATGGCCAGGCGTGGTGGCTTACACCTGTAATCCCAGCACTTTGGGAGGCTGAAACGGGCAGATCACGAGGTCAACAGATCGAGACCATTCTGGCCAACATGGCAAAACCCTGTCTCTACTAGAAATTCAAAAATTAGCTGGGCGTGGTGGTGAGCGCTTATAGTCCCAGCTACACGGGAGGCTGAGGCAGGAGAATCGCTTGGACCCAGGACGCGGAGGGTGCAGCGAGCCGAGATCACACCACTGCACTCCAGCCTGGCAACACAGCGAGACTCTGTCTCAAGAAAAAAAATAAATAAATAAATCATCAAGTTCTCAAATGGGGAGGAAGTGGTAAGAGGAGCCCCAGTCAAGCTCAGAAGACAAATGAATTGTAGATGGCACTCTGCCACCTACTAGTGGCATGATCATGACTATGGCATTTTACCCCTACTGGTCTCAGTTTTTTCATCTGTAAAATGAAAGTTGGTCTCAGGGATTCTTAACGAGGGGGATGTTCATCAGACTTATTGTTTCCAAATATACTGACACCAGGACTCTGTCAACCCAGCTTACTAAAGCTGTGCTACAGGATGAGGCCCAAGAATCCCCCCACCTTGTTTTTTTTAAAGAGGCAGGGTTCTTGCTATGATGCCCAGGCTGGTCTTAAAAGCTGGTCTTGAACTCCTGGCCTCAAAGGATCCTCCCATCTCAGTCTCCCAAGTATCTGGGATTACAGGTGTTAGCTACTGCACCAAACTGAACCTTTATTTTTAACAAGCTAAAAAGACAATTCAGAAGCATGCCACTGAGTAATGTGCACACATACACACTTGCCCTCCAAGATCCTATTGGAGTTCTAAAGTTTAATCAGTAGATGAAGCCATTTGGAGGTAATCACCATCTATATAAAAAGGATGGGGCTGGAGTGCTACACAGTGAGTCCCATTAACAACTGGCAGTCACTCATTGTAGTCCACAACAGGTCCTCCATAAATGCTAAAAATATTAAAGACAGGAAGGGTTGTCAAACTTTCTTTCTAACCCCATTTTTACACTGCTATCCTCAAATATGTGCAAGCAACTGAGAAAATAAAGTATTCATCTCAATAAAGTATTAGCAGCCCAAAGTTCAAAAAGCAGCCCTCCTCACTTTAAAAGGGCAGGAGGGACTCACCATTAATTTGTTTGCAATGTTTGAGGAAAACACTTAAAAAGCAATTCATATGATTTTCAAGAAGGGCTGCCCTGGAAGAGAAAGAAGGTACTAAGATCTCAGGGGCTCAGGAGGTACCTGGGTGACTGGGAAATCAAGACCCCAGGGGAAACATGGGCATAGAGTGGGTTGAGGTTTAACCCGGCATCCAGATAGAGGCTGTGCACAGCCAAGGAGGAGGGAGAGCTGTGGGCAGACAAGGAAGCCGGAAAGAGAGAAGCTGGCCTGCAGAGAGCAACTGTTGGCAGCCCTAGCCTTGCAGTCTGGAATTTTCTGAGCTGTGAAATCTTGGGCAAGTGACTTTGCCTCTCTGAAGCTCAAAACTTTTGCCTCCACAAATGGTAATGATGAGAGTGTTCATCACAGACAGTTGTGTAAGAATTAAGGAAGATGTAGGCACAGTATTTAGCATAATGCCTAGCACACAGCAAATACCCACTGGGCTCATGTAGTGCTTTCCATTTATTACTGTTGCTGTCATTGCTGAAAATAAGAAGAGGGTAAAAGAGTCAACCACAGACGATGAAAAGAGGAAGGAGCCAACCATGAAGAAAGGAGGGACAGTCAGAGGCAGGGCAGAAGGGGGCCTCTTTGCCAAAAGCCACAGAAGATAAATTGTTAAGGGTAGGTCCATAATGGAGAGAGGTCAAATGTAGAAAGTCACTGGATCTGGTGATCAGGCAGTCATGGATGACTTCTTTTCACTAGATGGCATTTGAAACAAAATCTCTCTACAGTGGGAGCACAAGTCTAATTGAGCTATAATTCTGTATCTATAATAATTTACTCCCTGAGTGTGGAGTAACCTGCATGACAGCCTAGAAATACTCGTTCTGCACAAATACCAGAAAACAAGCATGCTTTAAATAATAGCTGTAATTAAAAGGAAGGTCTGGCTGCTGTAAAAATGAGGTTCTTGGAGAAGCTGCTGGTCTTCCTTCCCCCAATTTATTTGAGACCAGCTCTTGCCAAATTCAACAGTGCCACCCGGGGGGCCTCACTACTCCTTTCTACACAAAGACAATGTAGACCATTCGTAACTATTTTGGAGTTAACCATCTTGATTCTCCATTCTGCTTCTGTCTGCCTTTGGGACTATTTCACCTCTCATTTCCTCTTCTAGACAATAGGCGTAGGAGGAGAAGGGAGAAGATAATCAAATGAGTACATTATGAAATATATTTATACCCTTAAAAGTTGTATAAAGATTGGGAAAAAAGCACAAAAGAGCAAAAATCTGATTTACAGAACTTTATGCAATTTATAATTTTCAAACGTATACAGCAATGTAAAGTAGGAAATGTCTGCTTCAAAGAAAAAAGATAGGCAGCCCAGGAGGTTTGGTCTTTGCTTATATTATAAAGGAGTCACTATTTGAAAAGAAGAGCCGTTACAAAACTAAAAAGCACTTCTTTGGGCTCTGTAAATATTCATCCTTACACTTTATTCCATTTAAACTGTACTCCATAGTGGAATAAAGGCACTCCCTTTTATATAGAAAGGAAGAGCAAATTTTAATAAACTCAGAATAGTGTCCTAAATAATGAGGTTTTACTCTTTCAGAAATATACAGAAAATTGTGTTTTTGTATGAGAGGTTAAACTTGGCTAATATGGGATTTGGCGTTTGTGATTTCAACCGCACTTAGAAAGCCAAGTAAAATGGTAATGTTCGTATGTTAGAAAAATCAGTTTTAAGCTGATGTTATGATGTCTTAAACAAATCCTGCCACACAAGAAATTGCATGCTCTTACCCCAAGGTGCTAATAAATCCATTTGTCGATCCCTCCGCGTACAGAGAACAAATGTCTCCAATATGCAGGAAGCTAGACATTTTGTCAGACATGTCTTTCTTGAAAATCCTAGACAAAGTAAAATATGCAACATTGTTAGAAGAAAAGAAATGCTCAGAGGGGAAAAAAAGTCACTAAGAGTTGGCTTAGCTCAATTTTCCAAAGCGCCTTACTTAAAAGCCAAATTTAAATAAGAGTTTGACAGGCAGGCAATTCAATGAGCCAAGTAAAGACATATGCAACAACATTTTTTCCCCGTATATTATTTAATTTCAGGATATTCCAACCACAGCAACATTTGTTTCTAACAAAACCATGCCTGAATCAGATTCTACAAGTTGAGGACCCTTGATAATAAAAACTGCAGTGAGTAGAAAGCCTGCAGGGAACTCAGCCAAGAACGTTGCAGTGATTAGGGAGTTACTTGGAAAGTCTGACTTATGAAACATTAACATATTCAATTTGCCTCAGGGAATGTTAAGTCAGAAGGAAACACCTGGTATAAAAACTTGCTTCTGGCAAGGCCACAGTGCCTGGGCTAAGGTACCAAACCAACAAAATGGCATTAATAAAAGGAAACCTGGTAATAAATACCACACATTTCCAGCAGCCTTTTAGAACTTTTAAGAATTCCACAACTGTATGCACTTCACCCAAATGCTACTTAAATGTCTTTCCTTCTCATCCTTCACCAAGAAACACTTCCAGAGGACGAAAACCCTTTAGACAGAACCTGGCCCAGATCCTTCAGTATTTGGGTAAAAATAATAAGGTTCCCTGCCCAGGAACACACAGCTATTGAGAGGCAGTCTTACAAAAAGCTCTTAAGTCTCAGGAAATCTGTACATAGCCCAGAAACCATTAAACACACAAACACATATAAATATCAACAAAACTATTGATGTGACTCCTAGAAACAGCTTTCAACGGGGCCATAAATATTGAGGAGTGGGAACCAATTGTAAAAAGCTAAATTAACATTTAAAAAATAAATGTCAGTTATGTGGGAAGATTGGGTGCTGGTGTGGACTGCAGCTAATCACCCCGTGTTTCCTCAGGCACCTGGTGTGGAGATGTCCAGGGCAACCCAGGTTTTCCCAAAACCCCTCCTCCAACCCCAGACACCTTTACCCATCAATTTACTCAACTTCCCCTTCCAGAAGCCATTTACCCCACACAGTCACAAGAGTTGTAATGGTGTGGAACAGTATTGTGTCTCCTTCAATTGCTTTCTGGGTGCCAAGTTTTCTTTCGGGAAGAATTATGCAGCAATGATCAGCATGACACTTCAGGAAGCAACCTCCTACCTTAGCAGCAATGTCAGCTATTGAAAGCAAACTCATGTTAAAGAACCTCAGTTCACTGCTTGTGAGAAGCTGCAGGGAAAAGCTAATTTGTCATCCCCTTCCCTCCCCTCCAACAACCCAGACATTGCAGGGGAGATAAAGAGCATTTCATTAAACATGAACTTATTTACAGAGGGAGACAGCAACTGAGAACACAGAATAAACTCTCAAACGAAAGAGCCAGTATCTCTAGACCTTGAGGGAAGACACACAAATAATGTGCAGAAGGACAGTTTGCCAAGTACCACTCTCTGGAATCATGTCCGTCATTGTTTAATTCTTCATAACTACATATTTTATACCTAAAGGCAAACCAATGTTTTAAATAGCATCCAGAAAAGTGGCACAAATGGAACACATCAAGGGAGATTAATAGTTCCCTCTGTGCTTATATTGTAAAACTTTATCTTAAAGGGTCAGGAAGTCAGCATACTTCTAAGATCAATTATTAGAAGACAATTTGTTTGAATTTTGAGCCAGACCAAATTTGTGTCTGTACACCCTGGCCTCCCAAAAGGACACCAGGGAATTTCCAAATGCAGGAGAACAGGTATGTGCTCCGGCAAGAGGACTAGGGCCTTGTCCAGTGCGACTAAGGCTCTCCTTTCAGGATCACCCTTCAGATAAGCATTCAGCCCCAGTAGAGACTAGGCCAGAAAATGCCTGCTGTCTTGTGAACTATCACCACCACCTGGATACCTTGCTGAAAGATTCCAGGCTCTTAATGGGAAGAAGCAGACAATTCAGTGTCCTCAAGTGACAAAGCATGAGGTACCCCATGTTGCTTGCAGCTGATCATTGCAATAGATGTCTGGACATTGCATTCCTACAGCACAGTTCTGCATTATTTTCTTTTCTGATAATAATAGCTGGCATTTATCAAGGATTTCTCATGCCCACCATTGTGCTGAGTGCTTTACAAATGTTCTCTTAGTGAATCCTCATGACCACAGCAGGAAGTAGGCACCTACCATTATTGCCATTTTGTTGTTGAAGACACTGAGGTGTAATACAGAGAGGTAAGATGCCCACGTCACATATAATTAGCAAGCAGGAGGACCAGGGTTATTATAACCCAGGTCTATCTGACGGTTTTTTTTTAGATGGAGTCTTGCTGTGTTGCCCAGGCTGGAGTGCAGTGATGCGATCTCAGCTCACTGCAACCTCTACCTCCCAGGTTCAAGCGATTCTCCTACCTCAGCCTCCTGAGTAGCTGGGATTACAGGCACCCACCATGAAGCCTGGCTAAATTTTTGTATTTTTTGTAGTGATGAGGTTTTGCCGTGTTGGCCAGGTTGGTCTTGAACTCCTGGCTTCAAGTGATCTGCCCACCTCAGCCTCCCAAAGTGCTGGGATGACAGCCATGAGCCACCGCACGGGACCTAGGTCTATCTGACTCCTCAGTGGAGGTGTTTATCAACAGTGATCCTGGGAACATAGGTTAAAATGTTAAATGTTCTTATACTCCAGATGATTACAGAGAACCGATGCACAATTCTTATGCACAATTCTGTTTTCTAATTTTTCTACCATGGCTCTGTAATACTTTCAGAAGTCAGAAAAAAAATAAGCATCTTCTAACCAAGATACTTATTAAGTGGTCGAGATAACTGAACAAGTAACCTTTAGCTACATTTTACATCTCCCCCTGAAATCACAGGCCAGTCCACCCACCACAGCTAATGATCCTCTGGGCAATCTGCCAGGGGTACTAATTAAAAACAACCAAAAAGTGGGGGAGGACAGATCCTTCCCCAGGGGTCTCATGTGATAATTCCCCTCACAAAAGACTGGGCAGAAAGCTTGCTGGTCTAGTTAGAAACCTCTGGAGATCTCCTCTGGCCTCCCCTTAGTGAAGTGGAGGAAGAAGATGGGGGGAGGAGGATAGGTTTTAGTGCAATTATCAGTGATGTCCTGGAAGGAAAAACAAAGGTCGGGAAAGTCAACAGAACAGGCCTCTGTGGCCTGGAGGGGTGGAGGTGGAAAGTCAGCCCAGAAGTGATGGGCCTAGGAGCAATCTTCTGGAAGACTTCCTGTTGTTCAGAGCTGGGTGGGAGAGCCCGCCTTTTTATCTGATCATGGACCATTTGTGCCTGTGAACTTCTAGCAGCTGCACTCAGGGCTCCTGTGTCGCTCACACCATGACAAGGACCACCTCAGAGAAAACAGAGCTGGCGCCAACCTGCCATGGAGCTGCGGAACTTCAAACGCTTATGGACACCCGGGGCTCTGCTGACAAGCCATGCCTGACATACACAAGGGCAGGCTTAGGCACTCAGCTCCCGCGCTCCACCCTGGCTCTCTGTCCCTAAGTTCTTCTTCTTATTATTATTATTATTTAGCTTATTATTAGGAGCCCATAGCCACCTCTCTGCTTTCATTTCCTCCTCTGTTAAATGGGGATAATACTCACTTCAAGAGGCTGTGGTGAGGAATGGATGAAATAATGCTTGAAAAGCACCTGGTACAGTGGCTGACATACTTGAAATTGCTCTATGCTCGTTATTTTTATTTTTCTTCCATGAAAGACAAAGTGGAATTCTGAAAGATTCCAGGGCGTCAAAATTTAAACTCAGTAAAGGATCCCCTGTTTAAAAAGCCATATGTGTATCATAACAAATGAACTCCTATATGAACCACGATGACAGATTTTACTTCAGGGAAGATAATTTATCCTTCCTAATTCCCCTGATGAAGAAAGGTGAACAATAGCGAATTACACTCAACTCCCAGCCACAGAGCATTCTAGCCTTTCAAAAAACACAGAATCACGGAATAAAAGTTGGAAGGAACCCTGTAAAGCATGTAATTCCACCTCCTGCCCAATAATGGAATCGCCCCATCATGCTGCCTATGGATGGTCTCACTGGGCAATAGAGACTACTCTATGTTCAAACAGCCTTGTTCAAACAATTACTCCTAAACCAGGCACAGTGGCTCATGCCTGTCATCACATTTTAAACAGCCAAGACAGGAGGATGGCTTGCAGCAAGGAGTTTGAGACCAGCCAGACCCATCTCTACAAAAAAATAAAAATAAAAATAAAAACACATTAGCAGGGCATGGTGGCACACATCTGTAATCCCAACTACTTGGGAGGATCACTTGGGCCCAGGAGCTCCAGGCTGCAGTGAGCTGTGATCGTACCACTGTAGCCCAGCCTGGGCAACAGAACAAGACCCTGCCTGTGAAAACAATAAAACAATTACTCCTGTCCCCTCCCTTAGCCCCACAAAGGACAGCTGCCTGCCAGAACTTTTGCTATTTATCTGTCCTCTGGCGCATCTAAGACCTCTGCATATGTGAATGCTATCTAGATTATTTCTCCTTAAGGCTTTGCTTCTTTTCACAAAGCATCACCATCCTCCCCACAATTCCTGATGCAGCATGACGTGAAGAGCACCTCTCAGCCCACAGCAGGCAGGAACTGAGGCTCCAGAGTCAAAGTGCCTAGGTTCAAACCCCGGCTCTGCCACTTACTTACTGAAGAACTTCAGGCCTGTTCCAGAACTTCCCTAAGCCTCGCTTTTCCCAGCTGTTAAAATGGGGAAAATAAGAGCACCTACCTCAGCAAGCTGGCATGAGGTTCAGCAAGATGGTGTTTACAAACACTCAGCAAAGCATCAGGCATGAAGTAGGCGTGCCATCAATATATGTTATTACTATTAAACCGCCACCGCCACCCGCCACCATTCTGATGGGTGGAATCACCTGTTAAAACAG